GGGGGGGGGGGTGGGGGCGGGGGGGGGGGGGGGGGGGGGGGGCGAAAGTCGAGTGCCTCTATCGGGATAAACGAAACATCGAGATCAGCCGAGTTTTGCTCGGTGCAACGCAGTCAATGTTAAGGTCGGCCAGAGCTAACCCGTGTGGAAACTGTCGTGTCCCCCGAAGTACTGCTATTCTCTTTTTCCCTCTTTTTCTCTTCCCTATTCGCCTCTCGACGTTTCTTCGTCGCTCCGTTCGCCGGGGTCCCTACTCCTCTCAACGCATCGACTTCCGTCCCACATTCTACCCGCGCGTGGTTCGCTCAACGATGCTACTATTGCGCGCCGTTGCTGTCAACCCAACTGCTATCTTCTCGCGGATCCGTCCGTTCTCTCGGCCGTGTCTCTTCTCTTCTCTTTGCTCTACCCGGGCTCCCGGTATAGCAAAATGTCCTCCTCCCGGCTTCCCGGCTTCCCGGAGACCGTGTTCGCGCTCGTCAAGACCAAGATGTACACGGTACTGCGTGACAACAACAATCGTAACCGTAACCGATAGCAGACAAATAGAAGGGTGCTTCTACCTTGTCGTCGTCGACGTAGCGGTAGCGCTAGCAACGGTAGCGGCTGTCTTCGCGGTCGGGTCCACCGTTCGTCCTCCCAGATGCCGCGAAACGTAAAATTGGCTCGGGATTAATTCGGGAACGCTGACGTCTTCGAAAAATGGTACGCGATCACTAAATTTACATTCGACCATCGTTGCTACAACGTACAGCGTTCTCTTCGATCAACGACAATTTAACCCGCGAAACAAAGCGATCGTCAACGGCGCAATTAGCGTTGCTCGGGCACGTTCGCGGAGGAGTCGATCGCGTAAAGTTTCGTCGACGGAGCAAACAGCTCGAAATAGAAATGAAAAAAAGAAAAAAGAAGAAAAGAAAACGCGTCGTAATTCGTAGATATCGCGTTTCTCGAATCGCATAGACGGGTTACCAGCTAAAACAAATACGCGTGTGTATGTATGTATATATATATATATACATACGTGTACGTATCGCTCGCAATTAGAGATAACAAGTAAAAACGTACGTTTAACACCTTATCGACCCGGATGACTCAATACCGCGTCGAATTGAAACAACATCCAATTGTCGTCTGTTAAGGATGACGCAAGAATCCGTCGGATGGATATATGTAATCCGCGAAAGCCGGGGCCTGGTCCGCGTTAGGACGAATCTGGTGAACGCGTCGAACAGAAAATTACACCGATTCGGCCGATTCGCGGCGAGGGTAACGCGATGGAAGCTTCTCGAATACGACGTTGCTCCGCGAATCGATCGTGGCACGGTGACGTAATCTTCGTAAGCCGGTGAACTCGATCGGTGCGACGGTGCACCACCGGGTTGCTCGTTATCGGTAAACTCTCGCGAACCGATCGGGTCGTTTCTCGGTGTTCGACGAACGAACGCGTACGAAATCGGCGTTCGATTCGATCGGACCGCTTCCACGTTCGCGGATTCGTCGCCGGCCGTTGCACCGACCGGTCGATGCGAACAAGAATGCGAACGCGAACGATACCCGAGTTCGCGACTGCCGATCGATTCGCAGCGGCTTGCGTCAGAATTTCTCGAACGTTCTGAACTTGGACAAGGTCGGACGGCCGAACATAACGCAAGTCACCGAAGCACGAATGACACATAGAGCACGCTGTCGCGAGACCGCGCTACGCTGACCATACGCAACGTAGCATCGTACGCCGGTCGCGTGTCCCGAGAAACACGGATTTCGTCGACGCTTCGCGGCACAGGATCGACCAACGAAACATTATTTCGTCCTGCAGAGAGAGAGAGAGAGAGAGAGAGAGCACGTCCGTGACTACTTCGCCCGTCGATATTTACCTTGGAAGCAAGAAGACATCAACGAAGATCCGGAACGCTTCTTCTTGCGCCTCTTGCGTCTGGCTTCCTCCTGACGAGCTTGCACCGCGCTCATCGATTCCCCCGACTTGTTCACGGTGTCTCCGCGACCGATGCAACCCGTATCCTCTGCAACATACCGCGAAACATTTTCGAATCGTTCAAATTTGTCGCCGTTTCCAAGATCGTTCTCGTTTCCCTGATCGCGTCTAGAATCTGGAACGAGACCGTTTCGACCGCGTCGGTGATCGACGTTCGTTTCGCGCTTATATTTTATCGCGAGTACAACGGCAACGATATATTTTACAGCGTCGGTGGTGGATAAGCGACGAGCGACCGTACCCCGTTCGCGACTCGTAGCGCGATTCGTACGCTTGCGGGCCACGAGATCGTTTCGTCTCCGTTGAAAAATCGACAGGATCCGAACGATCGAACGTCGACGCGGCAGTTTGGAAAAGCGGAGAGAGCGTGTCGCGGTGAATTTTTTCCTCTTTACAAATACGTATTCCGGTTCGCCGAATCGATGGCAACGGAGACGCGACAACGGTCGGTACGCGATCGAGAGTTCAACGACTGGCACAGAAAAGCAACGCCGCCATCTTATGCGAGATAGGAGCGTACGATAACGTCGTTGCATCCACCGAACGAACCGGCGTCGAGCGAAAAATCTCGAGCAGAACTTTGAAATTCTATGCACGCCTCTCCTTCGCCTATCGTTCCATCGAAAGATTCGCGTGCACGTATTTAAACTCGCGTCGCTCTCGTTTCCGGCTTTTCTTCGTTATCGGCGGCCACCGGTCGACTCGACTCGACTCGACTCCTGTTTTCTTCGATTCGCGATTCGCTCCCGAGGAACACGGTGTACCGAGCCTCGTACAAATCTATTTCCTTTCGAACCCGACACGCAATTTGCGTTACGAAATCAGTTTCTTGTTTGGTTCGCGTAGGTCGTTAACGTTTGCGCGGAGAGCAACGACTCGTTCGTACGCGCGTACGCCTAACTGCGAGGGGGTTGCGAATATTTCTGGAAAATTTAGGATTTCGTTCGCGTCTCGTCGGCGCGACCCTTGTTGCTCGACGAGCTTTCGCTTACATAACTTCGAGACTACGATTCGAAAGCCGCTAGGTGGGTAGGTAGGTAGATAGGTATGTAGGTAGGCAACGTGGTGCCGCGTCGATCCCTTTGTCCTTGAAATCGAACCCTTCCCTTTAATGGAGGGGGCAACGAATCTGTGGCGCGCAAGGACCCTTCTGCCTTCTCCTGCCGCTCTCCGATCCTCGGTCAC